CTGGGTAAAGCTTCTCTGATTACATTTGGGCTAGGCACCAATCTATGAGTATTGCAAAAATATCTTTAGGCATCATTTCATTGAAAGCCCCCAGACCCCCAGTCGTGTTTGATTCTATTCTAGGTCTCTGTGCTCTGAGATATCCAGCCTCTGAGTTCTGGCTCTCCAGGCAGTATTGGGTGGGTTTCCTCTCATGGCATGAGTCTCTTGGTTGGCCTCTCCCATGATTACTGTGCAACTTTTACCCAGCACACCTTGTAGGCAGGACAAATTGTAGGTTGAAAGTTTTGTTGCCTCCACTGGAAGACGAGCCTGGTTATAGGAGATGGCCAGTTCTGGCTCCATATTCCCCGGAGCTAGAGTCACCTTTATAGATCCCTGGGAGTTTTCATTGCACTTGTTTCTAGCTCATGCCTGTGATGCTCCCCAATTCCAGTTGTCTCTCCCAGTACTCTTTACCTCTATCAGATAAATGCATGTTAAAAACAAACTGAAATTCCAAGACATATGGTCAAAGTTACCATACCACTACACTTTATTGCTGTTTCCATAGAAAAAGGATTAAGCCATATATTCAAGCTCTGTGTAAATGGAAAATAATCCTTAGTGGGAGGAACTGTAGTTGTATGGGCCTCATGTATGAAAAGTTGAAGAACTGGATTCAGTATCACATCTTTTATCCTGTGGTCACTAGCTTCAACCATTTGAGGATGGTGTGCTGTAAATTTTATGTCCTGGTTTGGATGGAAGATATAAAGCTATTCAAAATGGGTGTTGAGGCAGCATAAAATTGTAAAAAAAAAAAAAAACATCATCACATGGTCATGTTAAATATTTCATCAGGCATTAACTTCCAGTATACTTATTAGTATATTTAAAATATAGCAAATAAATAATTAATAATCTATAATGTCTTCTAAAGTCCTGGCAACAGGGCAGTTTCCCCAATTAGAGCAAATTTTAATTTTCTTAGCATTTCCTTTAAGCAGTATAAAATTGTAGTTATATATTGTATTTATGGCTCTATCTCTAGTCTCTTAGTGAAGAGAAATACTAACACTTCTTGGGATGGAAGTAACTTAGGACAGTTTTGTAAAATGTTGTATATTCTAGATTTGTCCATTGATTTATGATGTCATTTGACTTGTTACTCTTGTTCTTTAAGTCTAGATACTTGGTTAGAATAGTTGAACATTTTTGGTATATGTGCTTCTTGGTTGGTACTAGGACTATCTTGTTCTTCATCATAGCAGTAAGCTTTAGTCTGACATTTTCTCACTACTTGTAATACTTTATTTGACCATTTGGCCCAGATGATGACTTACTGGCAAGTTAGCAAGTAATATGCTAATATGGGACAATACTTTGGAATTCTCTAGATAAAAATTCATTTAAAGCTGGGCATGGTAAATCCCAACACTTGGGGGGGTCAGAGGCAAACTATTTTCTCTGAGTTTGAGTTTGAGTTTACATAGCAAGTTCCAGGATAGTCAGAGTTATATAGTAGAGAGAACTTGTCTCAAAATAACAATAAAAATCATTTTTAAAAGAATTGACTTCTTCGAAGTCCTCCATTGACTTCTTCAAAGTCCTCTACCCCAGTTTACAGGTTCCCCTCCTTCCAGTACCTGTTCTCCTTAAAACCCTGGAAATTCGCCTCCAATCCCTGTTTCTACTCCTGTTGCTTCTCTCTGCTTTCCTGAGAAAACAGCCTTGGTGGGAATAACCTTTTCCCTTTTTACCATCCCACCCCCAAAAACGAATCAACATGGATTGGACAGATTTTATTAATTTAATATTTTATTTAGCCATTTCCATTCTAACTTTTTATGTGTAGGAAAGATATTTTAAAGTATTTTATTATGTATCATACAGCAAGACTATTATAAAAGGGTATTCAGATATAAAGATTGTAGGTTGAATATGTCCTTCCCTTATGCCCCTCATTCTTCCTTTTCTCACTGCTCTGTTCTGTTTGTTCCCTAGACAATTTCACCTTTACTCATATTCTATATGCTCATAGAATCTTATGTGTCTCTACGACAATCTAGAAACCAAGTATGGGAGAAAACATACTTGTCTGAGACTGACTTCATTAATTTTATATGGTCCTTTCCAGTTACACCCATTTCCTTTCCTTGCAAATGATAAAGGTTTCTCTCTCTCTCTCTCTCTCTCTCTCTCTCTCTCTCTCTCTCTCTCTCTCTCTCTTTTTTTCTTTTGTTTTGGTTTTCCAAGATAGAGTTTCTCTGTATAGCCCTGGCTGTCCTGGAACTCACTCTGTAGACCAGGCTGGCCTCGAACTCAGAAATCCACCTGCCTCTGCCTCCCAAGTGCTGGGATTAAAGGCATGCGCCACCACCGCCTGGCTATTCCAATATTTTTTTTCCTTTGGATTGCTTTTTGGCTATCAGGAGTGTTTTGTATTTTCATACGTAATTTAAAATAGTCTTGTTTTTGCTTTTTTGTTTTGTCTTCTTTCTGTGAAAAATAGCATTGGGATTTTGATGAGGACTGAATTAAATCTGAAGATTTCTTTTGGTAGTACAGCCATATTCAGAATAGTAACTTCTTTTTTTTTTTTTTTTTAAGATTTATTTATTATATATGAATACACTGTAGCTGTCTTCAGACACACCAGAAGAGGGCATCAGATATCATTACAGATGGTTGTGAGCCACCATGTGGTTGCTGGGATTTGAACTCAGGACCTCTGGAAGTGCAGCCAGTGCTCTTAACCACTGAGCCATCTCTCCAGCCCCAGAATAGTAACTTCTAATCCAAGAGATCTTTCCCATATTTTATTGTTTTCTGTTTCTTTCTTCAACATTTTATAGTTTTACTTGTAGAAAACTTTTATGTTCTTGGTTAATTTTATTCCAGGGTATTTTATTTATTTTGAGGAAGTTGTTCATGGGTTTTTGTCCCTGATTTTTTTCTCAGAATATTTGCTATTGATGTATGTTCACATGTGTGTGCACACACGTACAGACACATTAATATTCCTAATTGTTGACATAAAGAATAGGGTTTGAATTCATGAATCATCTTTAAATTCTTCCTCCCTGCCATCAGATAATAGTCATCAAATTTCATTTGATTTTTTAATGAATTGAAGTAACTAGTAATGGATAAGTTGTTGTATCCATTGGTTTATATTTTCATCAGTGACTAGGAGAGGCAGTTCTGTGGAGTGGAAGTGTTCTCTAGCTTTGAAATTCTTTTAATTTTCTAGCCCTGTGATCCTGAGTACATTGCTTAACCTCTTTGGTGGTCATTTTTAATTGTTAACTAGACACAATTTAGAATCATCTGAGAAGGCTTTGCTTAGATCTGGTTGGTCTGTGGGGGATTTTCTTAATTGACGTGGGAAGACCTAGCCTGAAAATAGTTAATGATTTTAGGCCCTAGACTGTATAAAAGTAAAGAAAACTAGCTGAGTACTAAACATGAATACATTCAGTCTCTCTGCTTTTGACTGTGGATGTGATGTGAGTAGCTGTTTCGGTTTTTGTCAACTGACACAAGTAGAGTCAAATGGGAAGAGTAACCTTAATTGAGAAAATGTCTCTTATCAGATTTCCTGTAGACAAGTCTGTGAGGCATTTTCTTGACTGCTAATTGATAGAGGAGGACTCAACCTACTTCTCTGTTGGACAGTCCTGGTTTGTAAAAGAAAAGCTGAGCAAACTTCAGCTAGTGAACAGCATTCCTAAATGGCCCCTGCTTTAGTTCCTGCCTTCAGGTTCCTTCTTTGCTTGTTCCTCACCTCTCTTCATGGTGGACTGTAAGCTGTAAGGTAAGACAACCCATCTCCTCCTCTAAGCTGCTTTTGGTCATGGTGTTTTTATCACAGCAATAGAAAGCACACTATGGCTTGGCTTAAGTATCTTCTGTGATTTTCCTGAAGTGATGGACTGTAACTTAGAATTGTGATTTAAAGTAAACTCTTTCCCCCTAATTTGCTTTATCACACCAACAGAAATGAAACTAGGGCAGTATCTTTGAAACATTGACTTCTCCTTATTAAAATGGGCATAGTAGCTACTTCAAAAGATTGGTAAGAGGACTGAATGAAGTGTAGGTTACTTGGTTCATATTAATTTGCTAACTTTTTAATGTGAAGAATTTTAAAAGGGATATGTTTCACATCTGTGATTATTTAGAGGATCAAATGCTTGATCATAATAAACGCTTGGCTCATAATAACGCGCTAGTTATAGTTAGTTCTGAATGTTTAAGAGTTTTATTTATACTTAGAGTAACAGATTGATTTTGAATGTTCTCTATGGCTTCATATTCATAATTTGAGAATTGTGTTCTATACTGAATGTTCTATATTGTTTTTGGAGAGTTAAATTTTGTTATCTTGTTTCTGAGTGTTGGGGAAAGATGAAAAGGAACCCAGCAGGTGTTTCTGTGTCTGCCTCAGAGTTCTATTTCTTGGCTTTTTGCTAGTTTGTTTTTTGTTTTGGAACTCATTATTCAGGCCATGTTGAATTAGATCTCAACAAAGATATGCCTGCCTCTGCCTCCCAAGTGCTGAGATTAAAGACATACACCACCATTTCTGGTCAAAAACTATATTCATTCATTAATTCATTCATTCATTCATTCATGAGTCTGTGTGTGTGTGGACGCACGCGTGCGTTCGCGCGTGTGGGATCCAATGCTTTGGCACACTTGTGGAGTCAGAGGACAACTTACAAGAGTTGTTTCTCTCCTTTCATAATGTGGATCCCAGGAATTGAGCTCATGTCACCAGGGTTGGTGCCTTTACTCACTGGGTCATCTCTCTGTCTCTGCCTGGCTTACTGTATTGGTAAAATTTTCAAGTAAGAATTTTAAGACTTCAGTATAAACTAATCGGAAGTATGAGCCACTTAATGTCTTGACTTCATTTATATATGTTACAGCTTAAATTATGTCTTATACCATTTATTTTTTAAGTCTTGATCTTATTTCTAAAATACTAACATACAAATTTACTTGTTTTTCAGGCATGTACTGGTATTGAAAACATCGATGAAGCTATAACACTGCTTGAGCAAAATAACTGGGACTTGGTGGTAAGTATTCTTTGACCTATGTTCTAATTGTATAAATTCTTGAATGGTCTTAACACTTACTGTAGATTGGCTCAGCATACCATAGCCAATCTAAAACTTAGGTGAATAGATATATCCCATTTTCATCTTTAATATGAAATCATCATTTAGCTCAGCATTAAATTATTGGGTCATTCTGAATGTTTAGATAATTGAAATGATTTAAAAAGTTTTCCTTTTTTTCTTTCGGTGTCTCATGGTCATCCCTTTGGATGAGGACTCAGTGTCCCTGAAGGATGAGCTTTAGCTGTGCTCCCTTCTTGCTTCCTAAGGTGTTACTGATGATCACTGCATTTTAAAAAGTTATTCAAGGATTGGTAATTTACTGTGTTTTCTTTCCGAATTATGGTTATTTAGATTTTTTTTTCTTTTTTCTTTTTGGTTTTTCGAGACAGGGTTTCTCTGTGTAGTCCTGGCTGTTCTGGAACTTACTCTGTAGACCAGGCTGGCCTCGAACTCAGAAATCCACCTGTCTCTGCCTCCCAAGTGCTGGGATTAAAGGCATGCGCCACCACTGCCCGGCGGTTATTTAGATTTTAAAGACTTTTTGGTAGTAACAAGAGGGAAGGTCTAGCATAACACTAAATATTCATACTGTGCAAGGCAAATCAGAAAATGATTGTATTGGGACAGCACGTCTATTAAGATGGCATACATGTCCCTCAGTATCTTGGAAATACTAAACTAATTGAAATCACAATTTTGAAAAAGTAAATTTTCTTTATTTTTTATTTTTAATTTTGTTTTTGAAACAAAGTGTCACTATGTAGTTCAGCCTGTCATGGAATTTAGCAGTTCAGATCGGCCCCAAACATACAGTTCTCTTGCCTCAGATTCCTGAGTGCTAGATTACAGCTGTGTTCCATTGTACCTGGCTAGAAGTGCTAATATTTAAAAGTCAGAATTTAAGATATATGTTTAAAGTGAGGTTATATGCTCACTTTTATATGTTACATGGATTTATATAGTTCTGTAAGTGCATTATATAGACAGTCTTTTGTATTAATACTGTCTTTACTCAATGTAAAATCAGACTGCAAAAGCGATACTTATCATAATGAGAAGATGAAAAATTTACAACCTGATGGTTATTGGTTGAACATTCCTAATCCATAAATCCCACACCCAAATGTTAAAAGGTTGAAGCATTTTATTGCTCACGTGCCACATTGAAAGTTATACATGTTGGGTCAGGTTGAGGTTCATATTTTTGGATTAGGAATGTTCAAACAATAAATACTCTAAAAACTGAAAAAAGGGGCTGGTGAGATGGCTCAGTGGTTAAGAGCACTGATTGCTCTTCCAGAGGTCATGAGTTCAAATCCCAGCAACCACATGGTGGCTCACAACCATCTGTAATGATATCTGATGCCCTCTTGTGGGGTGTGTGAAGACAGCTACAGTGTACTTACATATAATAAATAAAAATTAAAACAAAACAAAACAAACTGAAAAAAGTTATCTGAAAAATTTTGGGTTCTAAATATTTCAAATAAAATATTCTACCTGAAATTTTTTTTACTCGCGTAACTCACAGTTAAAAATACTCATTTCAAAGTTGTATTTATATTTATTACAGTTATTTTTAAAATTATGTCAGTAAACTTTTACATTGAAAGTAGGATTCTCTTACATTTATATTTTTATAATCCAAATTTACTTACTATTGCTATCTTACTAAGCATGGCTGCTCATTTCGTAAAAGTTTGCATGGTGCTTCATGTTGTGGTAGTATAACCGCTTTACCATTCTTGTTCTGGTGGGCATCTAAGGTTTTTGGAGTACTTTGCAATATTGTAACCATTTCTGTATAAAACATTCTTAATATGTGTATTGTATATTCAACCAACTATTTTTTTCCTAGAAGAAACTGATCATAATCAATTTATAATTGAATTTTTGGGTCAGACTGCATGAATATTTTAGAGGTATGAATACTTAAAGCCTAATGAACTTCCAGATTTAATTATTTACATTCTGCCAACTATTTGGAGATGGCTGTATTTACTTAAATCAATATTGCTGCTGTCTTCTCCCTTCTGTCTTTATTTTTTGGTCTTCTTGTCTGTCTGTCTGTCTGTCTGTCTGTCTATTTTGTATTTTGGTACAGGAAGATTGAGAAATGTTTTTGCTGTCAGACATGGATTCATGCTTTACACTGACTACTGTTTTATAGTCTAAGAAGTCATGTTATAGGTGACAGTTTCATGATGAGGATAGTGGGTGAGAGGTAGCAACATATTTGGGGTGATGCTTCTGGGTTACTTGTCCCGAAACCTCTTTGCAGTAATAAATATATTGTTTTATTTAGCTTATGTATATTTGAGGTATTCTTTTGGTCAAACTGATAAAAATCATTGGGGAGGTTTAAAGCCCACCAAGCCACTCTTGAATGGCAATGCCAAAAAGAATAAAGGAGAAAGAAAAGGAAGACTGGGAATAATGGGCTACACGTTGATGTAGGAATTACAGTTTAGCAGGGTGTAGGGATCTAAGTTCTTTGTTCATCTTCATCTGCTTTTCTACTGGTCCACATTCATTAATTTTAGTTTAAGTTCATTAATTTTAGTTTAAGATGTTTATTGGCTATGAATATTGCCTTAACCCAGCCTTTCAAGAACGTAGCACAAGAATTTCCCCAGATAATGTTGGAACATGAGTGGTAAGGTGCTTTTCATATGTTTCTGACTAGCTTGATTTTGGAAAATATTGTCAAATACCCTCTTTTCCTCCTCCCTCTTTTTTTCCCTTTTCCCCTTCCTTCCTTCCTTCCTTCCTTCCTTCCTTCCTTCCTTCCTTCCTTCCTTCCCTCCCTCCCTCCCTCCCTCCCTCCCTCCCTCCCTCCCTCCCTCCTCCTCTCTTTTCTTCTCTCTCCCCCCTTTACTTTTGTTCTACATTTTCTGGTCTCTGTTCTTTATTCTCAGGTTTCTAGGTATTGAAGCTGGGTCTTATGTATAGAAGGAAAGTTTTATATCACTAAGTTATGCCTCTTTATAGTGTTTTACAACTTTAACTTTTTCATTTGAAATCATCCTTAAGCTGGCAATATATCTCCCACTTTTATTTTTATTGCAAGTTGCTGTACTTTTTTCCTCTGCTTGATGTGTACCATTTCTCCTCTTTTTTTATACATCATTCACTTAGTGTGTGTGTGTGTGTGTGTGTGTATGAGAGAGAGAGATAGAGGAGAGAGAGAGAGAGAGAGAATATGTGTGAGTAAAATCAAACTTAAGTAAATGACATAGCACATTACTAGTTCAAACTGTCATGGAACTTCTAATATGCTGTACACCATTTTCTGTGTTTATTTTGTGTCTGAATTAGGACTGTCATTGGTCTATATTTCATAAATTTTATAGGAGATTTTGTGTAATTTAAGATTTTAACTAAGGGTGTCTATTTAAAATTTTACATATTTATTATCACTTACACCTTTATTTTATGCATAGTTTAATTAGAGAACTGTAAAATATGTGTTTGGCACTGTAATCAGGAATGTGGTGAACTGAAAAATGGTTATAATGAAGAACTTAGTCATTGAGTGCCCATTCATGAATGTTATAAATCTAGTTTTTTTACTAGATAGCTATGATGGAAAAAAAAATGTAACAAGATGGATGTGGTGGCATATACCCCTAATCACATCCCTTAGTAGACAGAGGCAGGTCGATGGAGTTTCAGAGCAACCTGCTCTATGTAGTGAGTTGAGGGCCTGCCAGGACAATGCAGTGAGGCCTCGTCTCCAACAAACAAGAAAAAATAAAAGTAAAAAGGAAAAAAAAAAACTGTAGCATGATGATCTCTATTAGACATTTTGCTTTCTGTTGCTATACCAAAATATCTAAGACTGGTTACCTTATGAAGAATAGAAGTCATATTAGTCAGCTTTGCAGTACTGTATCAAGCCTGAGGTAATCAACTAAAAAGGAAAAAAAAGCTTATTTGGCTTATAATTTTGGAGGTATTAGCTCATTATTGATTCTCTCTGTTAATTTTAGGCATATGATAAGGCAGTATATCATGGCAGGAGCACATTGCAAAAGAAGTAACTATCTAGTACCATCCAAGGAACAAAAGGAGGTTCACCTGCCAGCTTGGGGTGGGCCCTCACTCCCTTGAATCACCTTAGCAGAGGCTTTTGATTGCAATGCTTTCCTGAAGCCTTATGCTCTTTTACAGATTGGAAGTTTAGTTAGGTGGGGTCTTGCCCCGAGGGCACCTTTTTCTTTATTCCAATGCAGATCTGGCCTAAGAGAGCTTTTTATAACACAGCCCTCTGTCATTATCCTATTAATCTGTTAATCTAGTAATGAATGAAACCATTAACAAGGACAGAGCCTTTATGTCCCAGTCATCTCTCAAATGTCCCACTTTGCATATAATTAATATATGACTTTGGTGCTTAATCACCTCACCCCACCCCCCTTCAGAGTCTCACTTTTTAGTTCTGGCTTCCCAGAACTCACTGTATAGACCAGCCTGGCCTGAAACTCACAGAGCTCCTCCAACTGCTTTTGTCTTCTGAGTGCTGGGGTTAAAGGCTGTGCCACTGCACCCAGGATGCTTAATTTGTATCACAGGAAAATTTGGGCAATACATTCATGTTATATTCCTAAAGTTGAAAATTGTGCTGAATTGGTGAATGTAAGCTTACCTTTTTTCAAACCCTATTTTCTTACTAGGTTCTTAACTTTAACATCCCTTCTAGGCCACCACCCACCAGAGTTAGTGGAAAAGAAAGGTTATTAGGATACAGGGGAAAGTGGGCCTGTTTAGAAACTGTTCTTTGGAGCATATCCAGTTTGCAACCCAGCAGTTCAGTTCACAGGATTCAGCCACGGCAGCTTGTTCTACTTGCAAACACTTCAGGAATATACCAACAGTTCAGGAATATACCAACAGTTCAGGAATATACCAACAGTTCAGGAATATACCAACAGTTTAGTTCAGTGGTGGTAGCA